AGCATCTGATCTTACACCTAGTGATGTTATGTAGGAGCATATGATTTCACGGCTAGTGTTGTCATGTAGGAGCATCTGATTTCATGGCTAGTGATGTTATGTAGAGCATCTGATCTTACAGCTATTGATGTTATGTAGGAGCATCTGATCTTACAGCTATTGATGTTATGTGGGAGCATTTGATTTCAAGGCTAGTGATGTTATGTTGGAGCATTGTCATGCTCTCTAGCGTAGTTGGCTAAACCGGATTGCGCGGTGAGCGGGTGACGAAGTCCTTGTGGTCCGGGTTCACTCCCGGGGGTAGGCAGAAAAGCCACATTTTCTTCCAGATTTACGGTATTTACAATGGAATCAAGGCCGACAGATTGCGATATCCATAATACAGAGCCTAAAGGTTAAACACTCATGGCTTCTGGATACTAAAAACAAACAAACATGTAGGAGCATTTGATATCACAGCTAGTGATGTTATGTAGGAGCATCTGATCTTACAGATAGTGATGTTATGTAGGAGCATCTGATCTTACAGATAGTAATGTTATGTAGGAGCATCTGATCTTACAGCTAGTGATGTTATGTAGGAGCATCTGATCTTACAGATAGTGATGTCATGTAGTAGAATCTGTTTCTTACAACTAGTGATGTTGTGTAGGAGCATCTGATATTACAGCTAGTAATGTTTTGTAGGAGCATCTGATCTTACAGATAGGAATTTATGTAGGAGCATCTGATCTTACAGATAGTGATTTATGTAGGAGCATCTGATCTTACACCTAGTGATGTTATGTAGGAGCAGCTTATTTCACGGCTAGTAATGTTATGTAGGGGCATTTGATCTCACAGCTAGTGATGTTATGTAAGAGCATCTGATCTTACACCTAGTCATGTTATGTAGGAGCATCTGATCTCACAGCTAGTGATGTTGTGTAGGAGCATCTGATTTCACGGCTAGTGATGTTATGTAGGGGTATCTGATCTTACAGATAGTGATGTTATGTAGGAGCATCTGATCTTACAGATAGTGATGTTATGTAGGAGCATCTGATCTTACAGATAGTGATGTTATGTAGGAGCATCTGATCTTACAGATAGTGATGTTATGTAGGAGCATCTGATCTTACAGATAGTGATGGCATGTAGGAGCATCTGATCTTACAGCTAGTGATGTTATGTAGGAGCATCTGGTCTTACAGATAGTGATGTTATGTAGGAGCATCTGATCTTACAGACAGTGATGTTATGTAGGAGCATCTGATCTTACAGATAGTGATGTTATGTAGGAGCATCTGATCTTACAGATAGTGATGGTATGTAGGAGCATCTGATCTTACAGCTAGTGATGTTATGTAGGAGCATCTGGTCTTACAGATAGTGATGTTATGTAGGAGCATCTGATCTTACAGATAGTGATGTTATGTAGGAGCATCTGATCTTACAGATAGTGATGTTATGTAGGAGCATCTGATCTTACAGATAGTGATGGTATGTAGGAGCATCTGATCTTACAGCTAGTGATGTTATGTAGGAGCATCTGATCTTACAGATAGTGATGGTATGTAGGAGCATCTGATCTTACAGCTAGTGATGTTATGTAGGAGCATCTGATCTTACAGATAGTGATGTTATGTAGGAGCATCTTATCTTACAGATAGTGATGTTATGTAGGAGCATCTAATATTACAGCTAGTAATGTTTTGTATGAGCATCTGATCTTACACAAAGGGATTTATGTAGGAGCATCTGATCTTACAGATTGTGATTTATGTAGGAGCATCTGATCTTACAGCTAGTGATGTTATGCAGGAGCATCTGATTTCACGGCTAGTGATGTTATGTAGGAGCATCTGATCTTACAGCTATTGATGTTATGTAGGAGCATCTGATCTTACACCTAGTGATGTTATGTAGGAGCATCTGATCTTACACCTAGTGATGTTATGTAGGAGCATATGATTTCACTGCTAGTGTTGTCATGTAGGAGCATCTGATTTCATGGCTAGTGATGTTATGTAGAGCATCTGATCTTACAGCTATTGATGTTATGTAGGAGCATCTGATCTTACAGCTATTGATGTTATGTAGGAGCATCTGATTTCAAGGCTAGTGATGTTATGTTGGAGCATTGCCATGCTCTCTAGCGTAGTTGGCTAAACCGGATTGCGCGGTGAGCGGGTGACGAACTCCTTGTGGTCCGGGTTCACTCCCGGGGGTAGGCAGAAAAGCCACATTTTCTTCCAGATTTACGGTATTTACAATGGAATCAAGGCCGACAGATTGCGATATCCATAATACAGAGCCTAAAGGTTAACAACTCATGGCTTCTGGATACTAAAACAAACAAACATGTAGGAGCATTTGATATCACAGCTAGTGATGTTATGTAGGAGCATCTGATCTTACAGATAGTGATGTTATGTAGGAGCATCTGATCTTACATATAGTAATGTTATGTAGGAGCATCTGATCTTACAGCTAGTGATGTTATGTAGGAGCATCTGATCTTACAGATAGTGATGTCATGTAGGAGAATCTGATCTTACAGCTAGTGATGTTATGTAGGAGCATCTGATCTTACACCTAGTGATGTTATGTAGGAGCATCTGATCTTACACCTAGTGATGTTATGTAGGAGCATATGATTTCACGGCTAGTGTTGTCATGTAGGAGCATCTGATTTCATGGCTAGTGATGTTATGTAGAGCATCTGATCTTACAGCTATTGATGTTATGTAGGAGCATCTGATCTTACAGCTATTGATGTTATGTAGGAGCATATGATTTCAAGGCTAGTGATGTTATGTTGGAGCATTGTCATGCTCTCTAGCGTAGTTGGCTAAACCGGATTGCGCGGTGAGCGGGTGACGAACTCCTTGTGGTCCGGGTTCACTCCCGGGGGTAGGCAGAAAAGCCACATTTTCTTCCAGATTTACGGTATTTACAATGGAATCAAGGCCGACAGATTGCGATATCCATAATACAGAGCCTAAAGGTTAACAACTCATGGCTTCTGGATACTAAAACAAACAAACATGTAGGAGCATTTGATATCACAGCTAGTGATGTTATGTAGGAGCATCTGATCTTACAGATAGTGATGTTATGTAGGAGCATCTGATCTTACATATAGTAATGTTATGTAGGAGCATCTGATCTTACAGCTAGTGATGTTATGTAGGAGCATCTGATCTTACAGATAGTGATGTCATGTAGGAGAATCTGATCTTACAGCTAGTGATGTTATGTAGGAGCATCTGATATTACAGCTAGTAATGTTTTGTAGGAGCATCTGATCTTACAGATAGGGATTTATGTAGGAGCATCTGATCTTACAGATAGTGATTTATGTAGGAGCATCTGATCTCACACCTAGTGATGTTATGTAGGAGCATCTTATTTCACGGCTAGTAATGTTATGTAGGGGCATTTGATCTCACAGCTAGTGATGTTATGTAAGAGCATCTGATCTTACACCTAGTCATGTTATGTAGGAGCGTCTGATCTTACAGCTAGTGATGGTACGTAGGAGCATTTGATCTCACGGCTGTTGATGTTATGTAGGAGCATTTGATCTTACAGCTAGTGATGTAATGTAGGGGCATTTGATCTCACAGCTGGTGATATTATGTAGGAGCATCTGATCTTACACCTAGTGATGTTATGTAGGATCATCTGATTTCACGGCTAGTAATGGTATGTAGGAGTATTTGATCTCACAGTTAATGATGTTATGTAGGAGCATTTGATCTCACAGCTATTGATGTTATGTAGGAGTATCTGATCTTTCACCTATTGATGTTATGTAGGAGTATCTGATCTTTCACCTAGTGATGTTATGTAGGAGCATCTGATCTTACAACTAGTGATGTTATGTAGGAGCATTTGATCTCACATCTGTTGATGTTATGTGGGTTAACTTTCAATTTTGTCCAAATGTTCCCCACGTAGCGCAGTCCGGAACGGTTGAGAGCGCTGTGCATTTTGGCCTCGTCAAGGTTATGGCTTTTTTCATCGGTGACAGGGGCGCCCATTGGCTGGCGGGTAGACGACTTTGTCGCCGGACGGGACAGTATTTAGGTCTGTCTCCTTTGATTTTCGGCTCTGTATCTAAGTCGACGTGAAATCTTCGTAATGCCGGGATGCCGGGTTCGATCCCAGCTGCGGGCCATGCGCCTCGCGTTGTTTTGACAGTGGTATCAAGAAAGCCGAGCGTCCAGAGAGCAATGGCAAACTACTGGACGTAAATTTTTCTAGAAAAACCACACAACAGTCAGGGGCTGTTGGGGTTGGTTCTGCAACGTCATGTAAAGGATACGCAACAAACCTCCTTTGATCGCATCAACCACTGCAAGAGTCTTTTTCACGGTTATTTAGTGGTGAGTAATGCTTAGCCATCTTTATATGGCGCACATAACTTAGTCACAATTATAACCTAAAGCTACCCCTTAAGAAATGCTGGTTAAACGTGACGATGTTTTCCCCGCAAAGCAAGCCAAGTATGGGTTGTTGTTGTTGTTTTTTTTTTTCGGAGGCAAAAGTAAAACTCTAACTTGCACAGTCTGTGGCGTTAGCACTACTACTAGTTTTGCCGCTTTTACTCCTCGAGCTCAGAGACGTCTTCCATACCCCGCCACACACAGTGCGTATACAACACGACCGATGTAAATACATGCAGTAACTGGTAGCATACTTTTAGTATGCATTTGGTATTGTCACCGGTCTCTACACGATCACATTTATGTGAGCATGTCTTAATATCAGCATAACCTGGTCTATTGTTTATGAAAGGTATATTTGCTTTTAAGAACATATATAGCTGCAATGCTTGGGAAAAGATTCCTGGTTGCTAAGCTAGAGAAAAAAAATTGTCTAGCTGCAGTTTTTGAAAAGTCACAAGTGGAGTTGATTCTTTTTGGTAGCTACACGTCTGATTGCAATACACGAGAAGTTGCATGACTTCAAGTGTTTGGTTGCCATGCGACGAGACATCAAATGTGTGGTTGCTATGCATGAGAAGACATATGTCTGGTCAGATGGTGCCTTTCTCGGAACGTTTCGTTACAGATCCCGCATTTGAGTTTCTCCTCTCGCTTTCGCTTTATTGGGTCAAAATCTCGTTTGTGATGAGATCTGAAAGTATATACATAATATTTAAAAAATGGGAACACAAACAATACATTGCACAATTTACTGCCAAGCATATTTCGCTGCATCTCGTCAGGTGCGTTACTACGTAGTTACATAAATAAAAATGGAGCACAACATTGAATAAATTCAACTGTAATGCGAATAGTTTCTTTCGACGCATCGTGGTGAGTGTTGGCCGCCGGAAGCTCACCCTCACATAATAGTCATTAGTGAGAACATGAAGATTGCTCCAGCTGTTTCCACACAGGAGCTATCGCTGTTGTGAATTTACTACTATCTTCCCCGTGTGGGTTCTTGGGCCCCATTGTGGGTAAAACAAGAATAGACTCACTGTCTTCTCAAAAAGCATGTCGTAGGAGTCGACCAAGTGGGGACATCCTTTGAAGTAGGAGTGCAGCAGCACTCAGTTTTTGGAACAAGACTAAAGTCTGAAGGTAGACAAACGTCCAGTGCTTTGGAGTTTACAGCCAGTGAACGCGAGAACACAAGAAGACTACAGTCTTTGACAGTATTACTTGACGGCGTCTGATCAGTGTCGCTTTTATGTATATGCTAAATAAGCGTGTTGCAGAACGTCGCTCTCATCACGAGCTAAATGAAATAACCACTGTCTATCGCCAGTTTTACCGTCTCGCGCACATTGATACTCTTGGTGCCTATTATATATATGCTATGCCTATTTTCTGCTGGTTTGTTGATGCCTTTCTTTCCTGGTACCATACCTTCTGCTATCACCCCCCCCCCCCCTTCCCTACCTTGTCAGCCGTGGTGCATGATATGGCTAAAATATGTCAGTTTCCGAGACTAGCTAATCTTCCCCTATGCTAATAAAACAGGCGCTGGACGACTGTTATATAGATTGAATTAGCCTTATTTAAGCGAGCTAAAAACCTGTCCAACTTGGGGGTCAGTAAGTGATAAAACAGACGGGAGTGACCATTTCGCCCTCTTAGGCCTCTGGTATTCGGACGAGAAACATGTAGTTCTGATTTGTCCGTTGCTTTCAATGGTTTTACGCAACGTGGGTTGAGGAGAATTCAGTTCCGGTCAATCAATTGTGCACTGTGTTATCTAACAATGAACAGTCGACTATAAAGACCGTTGAAACTGTCAGATACCAGATCAATTTAAAACTCGAACAGAAAGAATGTGATACCAATGAAGCGTGGTCAGACGAAATTTTTGTCATTCTTCGCGCTCCCACTGAGTCGCGACCACAGTATGTGTTGACTAGCAGACAGCAGAATAAACTGCGACTCTTAGTAGACGAGGAGGAGTTGGGGAAATGTGTTGCGAGCTGTTGACCCAATTAGTTGTGTGCAGAAAGATCAGCTGGTCAAGGTGTGCCTATTGTTCGCGGTGTAGTTTGTGCGATGCTAGGAGTGTTTTCTTTCCATTGTGACCTAAGCTTGGGGTCAGATTATTTGTTTGTTATGTCTCTATATCAGGTTTAACTGTAGGTCTTTTTATATAGGTAGCCCCGTGTAAAGTACACTGACCGACCGAGGTATGCAGTGAAGTTTTTATAACATTGCAGTGACCCATACGTCCATTTGTAGGCCTTCGGCTGAGGTAACGTGCCCGATCAGTCCATTGTAGGCTTTGTCAAAGCCGAGGTAATTGTAGGCCTTTCATGAAGCCGAGGTAATGTCCGATATGTCTCTCGAGGGCCACGCGGCCGAGACAAGAGTGTGTTATGTCTCTCGAAGGCCCTGCTGCCGAGACAATGTCCATTGTAGGCCTTTGGCCGAGGTAGTGAACGAAAATGTCCATTTGTAGGCTTCCCTGAAGCTGAGGTAAAAGTGTGGAAAGTCCTTTAAACGTCACGCGGTGGTGACAAAGGCAAACGTCTTCTTATTGTCAGGCGGTGGTGGCAAAGGCAAACTTCTTTGTGTCACGCAGTGGTGGCAAAGTGTGGTGGAAGCAGTCTAATCTAAGCCCTGCGGCTGAGGTAATAAACAGCTGAAAGAATCCGTCTGCCAAGAATTGCTGGATGTCAGTGAGAGCAGCAACTCAATAATCCCGATGTTTGCTGATCACGATGTATTCGATTATTTTTGCAATGTTATGTGTTTTCTTAAATTGCAGATTTGCTTATTGTTTGTCATTGATGATTGTGTACATGTTAAAGATGCTGCAAGTAAGCTAGAGATTATGTTATGTCATGAGAATATTTTTGTTTTTGTTGTCAATGCACAGTAACTTAGTGAAACGAAGAACAGGAGTTAAGAAAGAATTGGTAAACAATAATTGTTAGGTATTGTGTAGTTGTCGGGACGCCAACAGATTTGATGAGGAGACTTGAAACAGGCGCTGGACGACTGTTATATAGATTGAATTAGCCTTATTTAAGCGAGCTAAAACCCTGGCCAACTTGGAGGTCAGTAAGTGATAAAACAGACGGAGTGACCATTTCGCCCTCTTAGGCCTCTGGTATTCGGACGAGAAACATGTAGTTCTGATTTGTCCGTTGCGTTCAATGGTTTTACGCAACGTGGGTTGAGGTGTGTAGGCAGAAAGATAGGTTCCATCTGTTGTAGGGTATTTTCTAACACGTTGTGAATTTTAATGCATCATTATTTGTGAAGACCTTAGTCCATGTTCAGTGAAATAAACAGATGTTGAATAGGATAATTATAGTTCCAGTTGCTTTGCTTCAGATTAGGGCTTGTGGTTAGTGTGTGTAGTTTATTTATTTGTTACCTGGCTTATTAGACTTTACACAGAAGATCTTGTGTCTGGACTAGAAAATTCCTGTTTCTAGTCCCCGCTAAACGAACTATTTTCCTTTATTTTTATCTTAGTACTTAGGGCTTCTCCGGCCTAGTACACTAAGTTCATTTAGGGAGTTGGTATTTCTTGTCTTCTTTGCCTGTGGTATTATGAGAATCTGTCTATAACTTTTTATTGCACAAGCCCCTTTTTTCTTCCTTAAGGAGTAGTACATTTTACCCCACTAGGACATCACACAAGCGATAAACACCCGATGACACAAAGTGCCACCATGCCGATGAGGATCACCCGTGGAGAGGTTCTGGAAACCGCCAGGGTTAACTCTTTGAGTCCCAAGGAGCGCATCATACGTTCATATGTTCCTACCTTAAAGCCCAGTAAACGCAAAGGGCGCCGATTTTACGTCTCTCTTCACTATTCCTTGGGCCTGGGATGCTAAACGCTCTGGGACTCAAAGAGTTAGCCTTCATAATAACGAAAAATTGCATCTCACAAGAGGATGACTAGTAATTACTTACTGGGAGATAGTCCACGACTCACATACGTAGGTTGCATTGAAGAGACATGCTCTCCAAAATGTTGACTTCGATTTCCGTGCTGATGCTTAACCGTAGACATTTAATGCTGTTTTATCTTTGCATTGCTACGACCATCCTCGTTTTGACTTCTGTTGAACCGACGCCTTCGAAAATTACAGGCCCTGAAACTCGACTGGTGACGTCACTTCCCGAGGCAAACAAAATGGATGTATCAGTGTGTATTCAGTTTTATTTTTCTTGTGAAAGTTTTTAATGTGGTTCAATTTTCACGTCTGATTCACCTATAAGCGGTATTTCAGGGAGTAGATTTAGTAAGCAATTTCTGCAATTTACGTTGGATTTATCGTCAGTGTGTTGGTTTTCGAGGAAATATGCCTGCGAAATGTTCTGTACCCGAGTGTCGTTCAAATTATGACCTTTCTAGTGGATATGTAAGTTGCTTCAAATTCCCTTCGAATTCTTTTTTAAGAGACAAATGGCTGAAACATATTCCACGGAAAAAAAAAATTGGACTCCTGGGAAAACCAGTGTAGTATGTATAAAAAACATTTTCGTACGTCAGATATTATTGTGTCTGATAAATATACAGACAAATCAGGAATCGAGCATATACTTCCAAGAAAGAATCCCGCTTTAAAAAAAGATGCTTATCCAACTTTTTTTCCAGATCTTCCATCCTATTTATCGGTGAAAGTACCTGCCTCTCGCAAAACTCCAGAGGAACGTGTATCACATATTAATCGTAATTATGATCAAAAAGTCAATGATTGGCTGTCCTCAGATATTATTACAGATTTCCAAGATCTGGAGTCACAGATAGGAAACAAACTGAAAGGACACTTTGAAAAAAGTTGGAAATACACTTCTGTAGATGGAGCTTTAGCATGTATTGTTTTGTATGTCATTACCATACAGTCAGACTCTGCACCATCCATAGGTGTCAGCATAAAGGTGTTACTTGATATGACTATACAAGTCTTTGTTCAAAATAAAAAAGTTAAGGACAAAGACCTTAAATGGATTGTAGACAACAATAAACTTGTGAGATGGTCACAGCTTGAAAATCTTGTAATTCATTACAATGCCTGGGATTATAGTAAAATTCAAAGCAACAATAGCTTCACAGATTTAGTGGGAGAAGCAGGAAGTATTTTGAAGAGTGCTGCAGAGCAACAGTAGACTCCTAATGGGACAGCTGATGAAGTAACTGACACACAAGTAAACTTTCTTGCAGAGCAGCTGCAACTTTTAACCGTGTTAAAAAACAGAAGGCGTTACAGTTGTAGCACATTATGTTTCGCTTTCATGCTGTTCATTAAATCTCCAGCATGCTACCGGTTTATAAGAAAATCTCGTATGTTGTGCCTGCCACATCAAAGAACACTGCACAATTTAACTTCACAGTTGTCATTGTCTACTCATACTGGCAGCATTTCACAGTACTTGAAATTGAAACAAGACAAACTGACAGAGCTAGAAAAGATTGTAGTGGTTCAGATGGATGAAATATATGTTAAATCTGCAATTACTTACTCTGGGGGCAAAATATTTGGCAATGCAGACAATGCAAAAGAAGCAGCAACAACAGTGCAGGCTTTCCTCATATCTTCAGTTTTTGGAAGCTACCAGGAAATTATAGAGCTTTCACCTGTGAACAGAATGACATCTCAGGATCTACGTTTGAAATTACTCCACTGTATCCACTTTGTACAGGAGTGTGGTTTCACAGTAGTTGCTGTAATTGCAGACAATAGTGCTGTCAATCGCAGAGTTTACAGTGATCTCCTGAAACCAAGCCAAACTTTTATTGAGAACCCAGATTTTGCTAATAAAAAAATATTTTTACTGCATGATTCTGTGCACTTGCTAAAATGCATGTGGAGGAACTGGATCAACCAGAAGGACACAAACCAGACATTTACTTATCCTTTAATAACTGGACAAATGCTAAACGCCTGTGATACTGATAGAGCTGCAGAAGCTAACTTTTCTCATTTAAAGAAACTGTATTATAGTGAGCAAAAGAATATTGCAAAACTGGCACCTAAACTTTCCCACAAAGCCATCTATCCCTCCAGCATGGACAGACAGAATGTTCCTCTTGCTTTGGCAATTTTTAATGAATACAATGTTGCTGCTCTGCGTCTAGTAGGCAGTAATGAAACAGCAGATTTTATTGAAGCCATCCTTAGATGGTGGCATATTGTTAATGTGAAAAGTAAATTTGTAGGTAAAAAGACACTGAACTCATTCTCAAATCCTGTATTGTCAAATGATGATGAACAAGTGCATTATCTTGAACAGTTTGCTGAATGGCTAAGAAAGTGGGACAAGCTGCCTGGCTGTCAAGGAAAACTGACCAAGGAAACACAAAGTGCACTGCTGCATACAGTGACCGCAGTGCTTTCTCTAATCAAATATCTATTTGCAACCACAGAAGCCAGTTTTATACTTCTTGGAAAGTTACAGACTGACAACTTAGAAGCTCGGTTTGGTGAATATCGGCAGTTGTCAGGAGCAAACTACCTAGTATCTGTGCAGCAATTTTTAGAAGCAGAGAAGAAACTTAAAGTTTACTCACTGTTAAGTATGTCCTCATCGACTTATGGAGATTTTCCTATCCGTGATCTCTCAGAATTTCTTAGCAGCAAAGAAGATGAAACTGGGGATGACATAATTACTGATGCTGTTCAGCTGGACGTGAACAAGGTTTTTTTTTCAAATAAACCCAAATGACTGTGAATTGTTGGTTTCGGAAGGTTCAGAGGAGTCACTGGTGTATATTGCTGGATTTGTCTCAAGTAAGCTGAACAAAAAAATTAGGTGTGCTGCCTGCAAGACTTTATTGCAGATGGACAGGCCATTATCAAATGATGTTGACTCAGGTGCAATGTCAACAGACTATATACAGCTGCTTGACCGTGGAGGTTTGAAATACCCTTCAAAATTTATAAGTTTAATAACATTTGTCACATATGCAGCTATGCAGAAGCTTATATCAGCTGAGTTGGAAACACAATTTCTAGCCTGCAAACATCACAAAAAATTGCTTATGCATATTGTTTCATGCAGTTTACAAACATATTTCAAGGATGAAATAGGTGGTGTCTGTGCTGAGGGTTGTTCTAAAATAAACATTGCTTCCAAAGCGCTGCCATCTCTGGCAAATGTTTTCCTAAATAACTACCGCAAAATCAAAACCGACACATCCTTGCTGGATAAATCATCTAAGAAAAGAAAACTGGCCAAATTCACCCAGTAATGGATTTCACGGATTATGTAACTTCAATTTGGACAGCTACATGGTAAGTAGTTTCTGTTGTGCTTTTAGTTTCTATGTCATATTGTGAATATGTCAGTAGTTTCTGTTGTGTTTTGTTTCCATGTCTTATTGTCAATACCTATATCCAGGGCTGTTCAAGTCAATTTAGGTTAACTCAGAAGCCAACATTGTAAAATTAGGGATCGTTATGGGCCAGCAGTCCGAGTCCCAGCTTAGAAAAAGCATTATTTCATTGCAACCAGCAGTGATCGGCGGGCCACTCGCTAGGCCTCAGCGGGCCAAATTTGGTCCGCGGGCTGACTGTTAAATAGCCATGAGCTTACTGCTATACTTTTTGTGGGCTAGTACTCAGGGGACGGCCGGGAACAAGCAAAAAAAAAAAACAGGTACCGTCTGAGTGAAAAAGTAACATAACGTTAGCCAGCGGCGGTGACGTCACGTCCCGCTGATGACGTCAGTAGCTAGGCCTAGTAACTAAAGTTTGGCCATGGTTGAACAGTCTTCTTTGTTATTTATAATGGAGACTTTCCTCCTTTCCTCTAACTAGCATGTCGTAAAAGGCGGATAACTATTTATGGATCTTTTATTCGAAATCAGAGTGCATCTCCCTAGGGGTCGAGGAGCCAACAATATGCACACAATGAAGCAAAATGTGTAAAACGTATGTGCACGTAAAACTCAAGTGTTGGAACAAGACCAAAGTCCAGAAGTGGATAAACAACCAGAATTTCAGCCGGAACTTGAAGAACGAAGAAGAGGTTTTGGGAAGATTTCCAATCTTTAAACATGTACTTTATAGAACCCTTATCGTGTCATTGTCGGATCAGAAACATGAAACTAGACTCATCTTTGTATTGATCAATCGGTACTCAGTGAGAGATTCAGTAAACATCACTCAGGCCACATTTACTTATCGTAGCATTTCCTTGAATACACTTTAGGTTGAGTTCACCTGGAACCCTTAGGCCAATGACTGAAAATAGGACTGGATGCGCATTTGAACCCAATACTTTTGTTTTGCTAGGCAAGCGTCTACTCATGCGCTACAGCGGTGTACACACAGAGTTCAATCATTTACTATACTGTTGTACCACTATATGTCCTATACAACCGGCAGTCTATGTCACAGTTCCTTTCTAGGCCGTGCAACCCCCTAGATATCGTGGACAGAATCTAGTCCAGCACTTGTGGCCGGTCTCATCAGTATTCCTTTAACGGAATCTCTTGGATGTTCTGGCTTTCTCAATCCCTTTATTTCCCATTGTAGTGCATGTTTAGTGATTCGCTGCTCGTTTTTCCCCCTTTCTCAGGAAGTGTCCAATATAACACCATCTTCTTTTGTCTTATAACTATTGTTACCAGTGATTACCCAGGCATTTCTCTGATTTCTGCAGCGCTATTGAATTCATTTTGTGCTCAACATTTTCCTCAGGCACTTGTTTCCAGCAGCATTTAAATTTCGTTCCACGCCCTTAGTTGGTCTTCAGCTGTCACTTGATTATGTGAAAGTTGAAAAAACATTAGAATTGAAAATATGTAACTGGGTTTTAAAAGTAAACACATGTAGCTGTTGAGCATAACATTCTGATTTTGTAACACGTCTTACCTCATGTGATAGACCAGGTCGGACGTCATTCTAAAAGTAGCGTTGCATTTAGCACACCAGTTTTGTGACAAGTTGAGAGCGTTGACTGGAGACGTCAGTAGTGTTGGGTTTGTACACTGAAGGAGTTTCTCAACCATAGGGTTGGAGCTTTTGAGGAAAGCCAGACTAGAAATGTGTCTGTCCGCAAACAGTGCCTGTTTGGCTATTGTGTCGTTATTTCTTATGTTGGCAGCGAAAGATTCGGTCAGTGGACCGACGGTTGGTATTGTTGCTCTGCACATTTCTAGGAGTCCCGGGGGAATCTGATCTGCGTACGCTGAATGACGGACTTGTAAGCGCCGTGCAGAGGAACCTGCAGCTGGGATGAGACTTGAACTGTGTAAACTGAATGATGGTGGAGGTGACATTAAAGGGATTTGAGGCATGTAGATACCCATGCGTGACGTTACGGGCAATGAAGGATTAGAATGAGCGATAGATGTCTCTCTTGATGTACGTGGATTTAAAGATGAGCAAGGCTGCGATGAAAATGACAATACTGAGGGTTGGTCTTTTAAAGATGATACAAGCAGTGGGATATGAGCTCCTGAAGTTACAAACGAACGAAGATCAGGCAAAGCTGAAGACAGGCATGTGGGTAATACTGTCTGTGGTGAAGAAGCTCTCAGTGAAGAAGATACGGTGTTTGAGATGGTAGGAAAACTCGGCAACGATGTACCAGAGGAAATATGGTCGATTGAGCTTATGTTGTGTGGCTTCTCAACTTTCCTGAAAGCGCTTCCTGAATCGGAAAGTGACTCCAATCCATTCTCAAAATGACATTGACTGGCTCGCTTTCCAACAAGACCATCGATGGAATGAGACAGAGAGGAGACTTTTCTGGATTTCATATTGTCAGTGAGGTATTTCTTGATTGGAATCTTGCCTGTGTCATCAATGTTGGATTGTCTCTTTGAAGACACTTTAGGTTTTGTGTTATTGGTCATGAGGTTTAGCATATATTGTGATTTACCCTGAAAAGCGTCTTTAAATTCTTCACCGCTGGTCTTGCCATGGAAGTAGACACTGTGATAGCTGAGTGTATCAGATTCTTTGCTGATTATGCGTGCTAGATCCACGCCCGACGTGAATGAACACTGGAACTTGAGATGTGCTCTCAAAGGGAAGGGAAAGTCAAACATCTCAGAACAGTGAGGGCATCTGTACTGTTGGTCATCTGAAATGTTCACAATGGATTGTTTATTATTATATCATCTACTGAATGTGTGGGTGTGTGTGGCCAACGAGCTTCGTAATGGAGGGGTGTGGTTCGATCCTATTTGCCTAGCGTTGGTTTCGGCAGTGGTATCGATAGCTGGCCGTTGAGTAAGCAACAAGCAAATACTAAACGTAACATTTGACTACAAAAACTACAAAAAGTAAAAAAAAAAAAAAATGCTTTGGTTGGTTCTGCAACTAACTCCTAACTACTGCACATCGCTAAAATGGATACTAAGAAATGTCTTTGGATCAGTGTTGCCACTTTAGATTCCAGCTGCGAACGGTTTGTCTTGCGTTGGTTTCGACAGGGGTACCTTGAGCTGACCATTAAGAAGCAATGACAAACTAAGGTAAGTAAAAAAAGTAAAGATCCCTTTTCACGCCTGTAGGCGCATAGGGCATATGGGAAGAGCACCCATATTTTTAAAAACCAATCGGCACTCAGTAGGTAATGTGGTCAGCATTACGCCGGCCATCTTTACTTCCCTAGGACAGCCATCCTGGTACCCATTTAAGGCTGGGTCGACCTGCGACGTCCCATACCACGATAAAAATCCACGCAGCCCGCAGTGGGTTTCGATCGCGGTACGAGTCGAGTCGGACAATGACAAACTACTGAATGTAAAATGTGCCCAAAAAAAAAACCAGCACAGAAACAACAACAAAAAACCGCTTGGGTGGATTCTGCAAAGTTCTGTAAAGCAGCGGTTCTCAACCTATGATTTGCGGCGACTTTTTTGTGGTCGAACGACCCTTTCACAGGGGTCGTCAAATACCATCGTTAAACACATATTCTCTGAAGTTATTAAGTAGCGACGAATATAATGGTATGGTTAGGGGTCGCCATAGAATGAGGAGCTGCATTTAAGGGTCGCCATAACATGAGGAACTGTATTACAATGTCGCTGGATTAGAAAGGTTAAGAACCACTCCCATAAAGGATACGCAGCTTACTTATTATATTTTTAAATTTTCTGAGATTAGCTGGTGCAATTTAAAACAGTAGGGGCCTCATGACTTTATATAGCTCAGGACCTCATTAGGTCTAAATCAGGCTCTGATGCAACCATATTATCAAGAGGATTGCACAGATAGAACGGAACTGGTGCCTTGTGTGATGTATATAGGCACACTAAGGTGGTCACGGTGATGGTAGAGCGATGAAAGAGGCCTGAATCCTTGGTTCTGTTGCCTTTATCACCTGCCAAAACTTTCTTATGCTGGAATCCGTACTGAATCGATTTCTAACAACTGACACTGGCTACAAACTCGACTCAGCCAAAAATTACTTTTAAGAAATTTCATGTGAAGTAAATGCGGTCAGTTCATGTTGATCACAACACAAATCGAGTGCCGGAAAAAGGGCTACAAAATTTGAATCTAGCAATTGAATTCCGATGATCCATTAGTGTATCTAAGCTCCTTGACTGTTTGACTTTACCTAAAAGTGTACACTGATGTGTCTGTTGACGTCAACTCCTCCCATTACCCAGGTATACCGAACCAGTTTTCGCTTCCCGTCCGCTCAGTGGCCATACATAGGTTAGTACCTGTCCTGTTCATCCTCTTGTACGAAGTTTTTCGCCAGGGACATAGATGAGTATCATTTATTTAGTACATTATAGCCCGATGTAGACACTTCATAGATAGTGCATATTTGTGTATGTGTGTTGTGTTTTTTATTGTATCTGCTTATAAAGACTAATCGACGCAACATCCTTTTTTTTTTGTTTTTTTGTTTGTTCACTGTGATCGATTTTGTAAAGCTGACATTAAACTATTCGTTCTTTTTTTATCTCTTTTCTTCTCCTCCCTATAATCTTCTACCCTTTTAAATACTCTAAAAAAGCAGCACATTCTTTTAAACTCGCGTCCCAAGTTGCGACAACATTTTTCGTTATTTCAAAGCCCCAGCCCGACTATAGTTGGGGTCCCTATTTTAACGTAACGGTTTAGCTGGGTTTAAGGGACTTGTGCCCGGGTGATCCTCCTCCGAATGGTTGCACTTTGTGTCACCGAGTGTTGGTCGATCGTTGTACGGTCCTGTTGGGATTGAACTGCACACACACACACACACACACACACACACACACACATTTTTTTGTCATGTCACGATAAAAAGAAAACAGGAGTACATTGTGACAGTGAGAAAGTTGGAGGGGAAAAAAGGCAGAAAGAGGCTGAAAGAGAATGCTGGACAGTTTTAGCATTGGTATGGAAGATCATAGGGTCAGAACTGACAGAAAGTACAGGAGACAGAAAGTTTTCGATAGACATGACCACCACACGACATGGACTCTCAGAAAAAGAAAATCAACACATGTTTGTACCTTGCATGCAGCTGGTCGGTAGCTCGGGAAGGCCTAACATCTGGGTCAAATCTTTGCTGTACCAAACGAGAAGCTGCTCCCCACCTTTGACTATACGTAAAGTTCTGTAGTAGACTCTGCCATACTTCAGGTACGCCTCCATATTTTGTTCTTGCTCGTTCCTGGCTGCTGACACACGGGGTAGCCAATCAGCTGTTTTCATCCCTTCCCCGGTATCGTCCACATCCACCTTGGCAGAAACGGGAATGTGAACTGTTAAGGTCTTATAAATTATAAATACAGTAAAAATAAGTAAAAGACCCTTCCCCACGCCTTCAGACGTATTCGGCATATATGGCCAGACCTATATTTTGTACTTATCTTGGCAGCACACTATCTCAGAAAGTCAACATCGACGATGAGATTAACGTTAGAATCTCAATGGCCAATAGCAGTTTCGGCAGACTTCATACCAGTGTCTGGAACCGAAGAGGTATCTCCCTGCTGACCAAGCTAAAGGTTAACAAAGCTGTAATTCTTCCAGTACTGCTCTACGCTTGCGAAACGTGCACTGTGTATGAGCGTCATGTTAAAAAGTTGAATCAGTTTCAAATAACCGGTCCCAGGAAGCTGCTCAAAATCAAATGGCATGAAAAGATCCCAAATACCGTGGTTCTTTACAACATCACACCTTTTATGTATGATGATGATAAGTCACTTGACACACACAGATTAGGATACGGCCTTTATGCTCGTAGGTTTCCAGCCCTGCATACCGTCATTTCCCCTTTTCTTTCGTAATGTCTTTATTTAGTAGTTTATATAAATATGGCTACCCGTTTTATCAATTTTTAGCATTTCGAAACATAGAACTCCTGGCAAAGGAAATCTTTTTACCTGTCCAAAACCAGCTGCGAGAAATTCATTTGACTAATTGCACAACAGGTTCATTCATAAGCACATTGTTGACGAAGTAAACATTTTCTGGTTATTTTAGTTTGTCACTTGATTGAAAACCAGATAGATCTCTCACAATCAATCGATCACTTAGGTGTTGTACTTTGGTATTTGAAAGAAGGACAGACTAATAAACACTTTTTAAACTTTCTGGAATTGAAAGGTCATAGCGGTGAGGAAATCAGTTGAGATATTACTGCTGTTGTTAGGTTACATAACTTTGTCAGTTATTACAGCTTTTCTAAGAATAACTGAATTATCTTCCCTGATTTAACAGAATACATGTTGTTACTACAAATCCCCCGTGTTGGTTCCGGGGCCCCATTGTGGGGAAAACAAGAATAGACCCACTGCCTCCCCAAAAGCATGTCGTAAGAGTCGACTAATTGGGGAGCTTTCTTTGAAGTCAGAGTGCATCTGCCGGAGAGGCAAGGAACCAACAGTCTGTATTCAAGAGAATGAGATCTGTAAAACTGAAGCACACGCAACACTCAGGTTCTGGAGCAGGACTGCAGTTCAGTACTGGACGAGCAACCAGAACTTTCTGCCAGAGTGTACAGCTGGTGAACGCGAAGAAAAAAGAAGAATTTACTACCAATATCATTTTACTGTACCTATTTGGGTTGAGTCAGTCTAAGAGTAAAGGTCAAATTCATTCTGAGCTTTCCTTCTGGATAATTTTCTGAATTTCTTACTACGAGCATGAAGTACGAGTATGAACTACGAGCATGAACTACGAGCATGAACTACGAGAATGAACTACGAGTATGAACTACGAGTATGAACTACGAGTATGAACTACGAGTATGAACTACGAGTATGAACTACGAGTATGAACTACGAGCATGAACTACGAGTATGAACTACGAGTATGAACTACGAGTATGAAGTACGAGCATGAAGTACGAGTATGAACTACGAGCATGAACTACGAGCATGAATTACAAGAATGAACTACGAGTATGAACTACGAGTATGAACTACGAGCATGAAGTACGAGTATGAACTACGAGCATGAACTACGAGCATGAACTACGAGAATGAACTACGAGTATGAACTACGAGTATGAACTACGAGCATGAACTACGTGTATGAACTACGAGTATGAACTACGAGCATGAACTAAGAGCATGAACTACGAGTATGAACTACGAGCACGAACTACGAGTATGAACTACGAGCATAAACTACGAGCATGAACTACGAGCATGAACTACAAGTATGAACTACGAGTATGAACTACGAGTATGAACTACGAGTATGAACTACGAGTATGAACAACGAGCATGAACTACGAGTATGAACTACGAGCATGAACTACGAGTATGAACTACGATTATGAACTACGAGTATGAACTACGAGTATGAACTACGAGCATGAACTACGAGTATTCAAGACACTTATCACGACAGAAACACGCAAACCAGTCTTATTGAATATGTTGGAAGTCGAAAGGATCAATTTTGTTGTACTTAGTTTCATCCGACATGGTTCAGTCTCTCCACAGAATGTCTTGCCAAAAGCGTCGCACAAAATATGAACTCCAACGACAATCTCAAGTTAATCCAATTGATCGTAGTACCAACTCCACAGCAAACTGGTAACACCATAGTTGCTCACTTCTTGTGCCAGCGAAACCAGACATAACGTCCTGTCGAGAGTGTCGCAGAAAACGTGAACTCTGTAGCTCCAACCAACCACAATCTCAAGTTAATCAGTATATTGTAGTTCCAACTTAACAGCGAACCGGCCATAAGATATTTGTTCCCTTCTTGTGCGAAAGAAACAAAACAGAACATCCTGTCGAGAGCGTCCATTAAAACACGAACTCCGTGGCGCCAACGACAGTCCCTGTTTAAACAGTTATTCAATTAGCGTACTTCCAACAACAGCAAACGGGTCACCAACTCCCATAGATTCTCCACTCTGTGACAGCAAAAAACCACCCAGAATACCCAGCGCTCTCTCTTGTGAAAAAAACCCACAAAGAATACTCAACGCTCTCTTGTGGAAAAACTACACATAATACCTAACGCTCTCTTGTGGAAAAACAAATGAAACCGAATGCAGTATCGGCAAAAAGAAAAGCATACAAACACATTAATTGTCTAAGGCAGTCATCGAAAGTGTCAGTACAAACACTCCACCACTAGAATTGCAGTTAATCTTTGATGGAAGCAGGAGTTACAACAAATCAGCAGTTTCACATGCAGTATTGAATAAGTCCCCACCAGTTCTGTGGTAACATATCATCCAGCATTTTACGAATCTGTTATTCACAAACAAACCATATTGGAAACCGTCAACAAGCATTCAATATGAAATCAGCAGCTCACAGTGTCGCGCCATGCAAGTAGCAATTGGGCGACGGAACTATAAATTTTCAACCTCTATATGTAGGAAAATGCAACATCTAGGCGTGGCTAAAAGCAAATAGCTAGCCAGAACGAAAAGAGTCTGCTAGCCTATCTGCCACACTAGACCAGAAAAATCCCTAATGTTCTTAATCATTGCACCAGTGAAGCGAAAGATGCAGTGTGTGAAATGCACTCACCACCTTCAAAGCGCAATGCCACGGCTTAACTATTTAACCACAGAGCGCTCCAAAATGTGTCAGTGTTATCACCTCACTTTGGCATATGTAAAAAGTAATCTAGGAACAAACGAAGGAACGAACTAGTGAACGATCCTCATTTTCAAACGCTCAAAAATGGAGGCCTGACTGGTCGCGACCCTTGCAAACACCCATCTTTCACACAACAGTTGTATTTTACCATTGAAGCATGCTATGTTCGTTATTAAATTACACATAATATGACTATCAAGTAAAACACACAAAGGTATGGATGGTAAATAGATACATTCAAACATGCATATGTGCCTCACACGCATACTACATTCAAAAACTACATACATACACACTCATACACGCGTACATACCTATGTATATGCACGCACGCGCATGCGCGCGCGCGCACACACACACACACACACACATACTCACGCGGCAACATGCATGAGAGGAGTCTTCCAATCATCAGAAGAGACCCAGGAATAAATAGGTATCAGGTCGAATCCTGGGAAGTAAAGGCGACCGGCGTGATATTGACCAAGTTACCCGTCGAGTGCCGATTGGTCTACAAAATATATTGTTCGTCCATCACTAGTGATAAAGATCACGATCACTAAGTGATCGATTGATTGTGAGAGATCTATCTGGTTTTCAATCAAGTGACAAACTAAAATAGCCAGAAGGTTTTTTACTTCGTCAACAATGAGCTCATGAACCTGTTGTGCCATTAGTCAAATGAATTTCTCACAGGTGGTTTTAATAGCAGCAGGTAAAGAAGTAATAGAAATAATAGTGGTAATTGGTAGTAGTAGTAGTAGTAGTAGTAGTAGTGTAAGAAATAGTAGTGGTAGCAAGAGCAGCAGTATTAGTAGTAGAGATAATACTAATAGCTGTGGTATCAGCCGTAACGCCAGTAGCAGCATTGGTAGCAAAATCAGTAGCAGCAGAGGTATTGGTGGTGGTGGCGTTAATAAATGTAGCGGTTAACAGCACCAAGTAACGAAGAAAAAAAAAATGATGTTGATAACGGAGAAGAAAAAGAACAAGAAGAAGAAGAAAAAGATGAAGAAGAAGAAGAAGAAGAAGAATAAGAAGAAGAAGAAGAAGAAGAAGAAGAAGAAGAAGAAGAAGAAGAAGAAGAAGAAGAAGAAGAAGAAGAAGAAGAAGAAGAAGAAGAAGAAGAAGAAGAAGAAGAAGAAGAAGAAGAAGAAGAAGAAGAAGAAGAAGAAGAAGAAGAAGAAGAAGAAGAAAAAACGAGCAAGAAGAATTAACTTAGGTAAAGAAGTAGTTTAGACAGAGAAGAAAATAAGGTAATATTTAGCTGAGATTTAGAGATACCTTAGCTGAAATATATGAGGTATAAGGTGAAAAACATTGCAACAAAATCACGAAAGTACACCTACGACTGTTAAGGCTAACCTAGCTAAATTCCCACCTGTAAAATGAGATGCATGAGAAAAGCCGCCAACTCAACCATCTCAGACAAAGCTGAAAATGATATTATCACTCTGACTAAAGAAACAACAACATGCAGCAAATTAACAGAGAAAGAGAACATCAAATGGTTTGGTCATCTAGTAAGAATGCACCCACAACAACTACCAACCCACACGTGAACAAATCTGAGGTGAAAGCAAGAGGCTGCTCTAGGAGATAATGGACTGATGATATTAAAGAGCTTCTACTCTGGTACGTAATGAGAATAGCCATTGCTGCCCATCAAACAATGGATCTTATACTGTTACTTCCCACATGATGATATTGATGAGGATAATACTTACCTTTAGAATTACTCCCTCCGGTGCTTTGTCTCGGGTCAACATACCGATGAGATAGGCAGGATCAATGGCGGACAGGTGAGTTGGGAAGGGGCCAAAAATTTGTCCATAGTCAATGTCTTTGACTGTGATGACACCCATTGTGTTTCTGGGTGAGTGATCTACACTGAAAATGAGACAATATACATTACATTTTGTAAGTTTAGTCCATCATAGGGAGAGAAATGAAGACCAATTAGTTTCATCTTTACAAAATCGATCAATGATCAAACAAAGGACGTTTGATTAGCCTTCCATCAGCAAGGGACAACACAGGCTGATTAGTCCAATATGAGCCTGGACAGTATAAAATAAACGAGCAGTGCGGCGAAAAAACTTCGTTCAAGATGGAAAGCCTATATACCTCCAGTGTTAGGGGCATTACTACTTGGGTCTTTCTAAGGAGGGAGGGAGGTGTCCTATAGCCGTCCGTTGATTACATCTGCCTGATCATGCAAAGACCTCGGCTGTAATGATCAATGGAGTGCAAAGGAGGCTGATTAGCCACCATAGTGCGGACAACAGAGGGATGCCGCAGTAAGTTATACACGAACGGTCCTCCGTTGTGCAACCTCGCAGCCTCTGATGAGGGATGTACGTTATACAGAACGGTCTTGTGCAGCAGCCTCTGTGTTGCTGTGTTGATGCCAAAAAATGTATAGCAGTTTTGAGAGTGTCTTTATAGCGTTATTTCTGTCCTCCTTGGGACCTCTTCCCTTGGTGGAGCTCGTCATAAAATACTCTCTTTGAGAGACGACATTCTGGCAAGCGAACTAGGTGACAAGCCTAGCGCAGCTGATAATTCTTTAGCATTGTGTGGATACTACGCAAGTTAAATATACATACATATAGAATGTAGATTTAAACTTAAGATATACATACATGTAGAAATCAACTAAAAATTGTGAGCTGCTGTGTTTTTTCAGTGGCAACTTAGTTATGTAAGTCATTAACTATTACTCAATCTTAGTACTTTTCGGCAAAGTAAAATACTCACAATTTTGAAACTATAAATGATGGCGGTCTGACGTGGAGGAAAGAAGCATTAGGCCCGGGGACGACGCATATACCAGAACTTTAGCCACGAAAGTGAAGCCAAAAAAAAAAAAAAAACACAAAAAAATAGCTAAAAATATAGCCGGAGACTGCTGGCAGCTTTGGCTAGCTAGTAGCAGGTTGAACGTGGCTTGAGTTCTTGCTGCTTTCTAAATGGAATTGGAATTGGAATACTCAGTTTTTAGAAACTTCGAAAAAAAAAAAAAAAAAAAAAAAATATATATAAAACACAAAGCTTTTGAACTGAAATGCAACAGAGACATTTTTAGAATTCAATGGACCAAGATACAGAAAAACACCAAGAGGCTAGATGATCTAAACATGGAGGAGAATTAGCTCGTAAACAACATCCTGTCCGGAAGGCTGGGATATTTCGGCCATGTTTATCGTCAGGGTGCCCTGCAGAAAACGATCATGGAAAATAGCGTTTCCGGCAAAAGAGGCGGAGCCCGACCAAGGCGAATGTGAATGACTCAAAAACAGTGACGATGCATTTACTGTGAAAGCACATAGGGCTGGGAATAGGCGAGAAAAAGATAGATTTTCAGGCGTGCCGTGATAAGAGCGATGTTCCGCAAAGGACCTGCTGACAGGTGATTAGATATCGGCAGGGATACAATGACATGGTTGTTAATAAGCATACTCGTACAATACCTGCCAAGACGAGGGGGAGGGGGGAGGGGGGGGGGGGGGGGGGAGTTCGTTCCCTGGTGAAGTGGTCAAGTAGTTCGGCCTCAAGCTCCGATGGTCGTGGGTTCGTTTCACGGCTGCTACGTTCAGCTCACGAATGCAATTTTTACGGAGAACCTGGGGATCTTCCCAGGAGCCACGGAGATCGTGCTCTATGCGACGTTTTTTGCAGGCATCTAGCTGTTCTGCGGAGAGAGTCTGAGCCATATAGGATAAAACCCGGGGCAAGGAAGTCGATCCTCTCACCTTTACCTTTACCTGCCAAGACAGTAGTTGAATATGTTTAACACATCATCCTCCAGAGCCAGTCGGTCGCTACAAGTCTAGCATTATAAGCCCGATGCGCCACTGGCGTAATATGCATCTAAGTATGTGTGTATATGTGTACATGTGTGTGTGTACGCGCGCGCGTGGGCGTGTGTGTATATCAGTGTGGTTATGCCTAATTAAAAAAGTAAAAATTGTTTTTAACAAATTGGAAATAACTGTCATTTTCCACTGCGGTGAGAAATATGTAATCATAAGTTAAACATTAGAAGGGGTGGGGGAGGGATTGTTAGCCCGCTGCCGAGAGCGACACACAAAGCACGAACTCAGTAGCCCCGGCGATGATCGCTGGAGATCTCAGTAAAAAAATCACTCGTGAACCGAACGAGGCAGGGGTGAAGTCTGAGAAAGTGAACAACTACGAGGAATGCGGAAAGTGTTGCGGCATCCCTTCCTTGTGAAGATGGCACCTGAATTATTGAAAGGCCATCTAGTGGCAACACAACGTTAGAAAGAGAACTCTTGCTTCCCATTTTCACAGACTAAAGCAATAAACGCAAAGTCTCTCCTTCTTCTGAATATTTCCTTAAAGTAATCAAGGCCCACACTTTCGGATCAATTTATCCAACAGACTCCATTCCATGGGTTAACCATATCCTTTCTTGGGCCCCATAATTGAGCGATGGCGCCCGTTTCCACATACGCTGTCCTCTAGCGAAAATATGTTTTTCGGCGTTCAAAGTGATTTCTTGTCCAATCCGATCAAGCACCGTAAATGGCCAGCGAAATTGGAGACCAGTTTGCGTCGTAATGGAGTAAATTGGAAATTCATTAGCCTTTGGATTTGCCTGGACTATCTCGCATCAAGCATGCGCCAAGAGACAGCCAAACTCGTGATAGGATATTGGGCCATTGTCGTAAATTGTCATGTTTTTGGATGAACTCCTAATGTACTTAGAAGCTGGCACAGCCGGCAGACATTCTTATCCCTATGGGCAGATGTTTGTCCCGGGTCTGAAAAAGGGTGGTGTAGTTTGGGACAATTGAGTTGCCTCGTCGCTATGACGGCAGAAAGAAAATGTTGATGACAACGGGACGAAAATAAGTCATATAACAGACGATAGTTGGTAATGACAAGAAGGAAAAACCATGTTGCCATTTTAAAGTGACGGTTGTTTTGGCCGTGTAATTCAAGAGCAAGTTTACACAAGTTGTATATTGTATTAGTTTTTCTGCTCTATTGTTAGAAATTCAAAAGCACGTTTACACAAGTTGTATATTGTATTAGTTTTTCTGCTCTATTGTTAGAAATTTACGAAGCTTCTTCTTCTTCTTCTTTGCGTTCAGTTTTGTATGCTCAGATCAGACTATCAGGTTGGGTTGCCTCTATGAACTCCCATTTTAGCGGCAGATTCTTCATGGTTCCCCATAGCTTGCTCTGCACAATTTGCTCTTGAGGCCAGGTGTCTTTTCGAAGTTGTAGGTAGAGTGGGCAGGTGTGCAGAATGTGCTGAGGTGTTTGTGGTCCTGTTTGACAGACACACTTTTGGGACTGTACAGTCTTTATTTTATGCATGTGGTTGTTGAGCCTGAGTGTCCTGTCCGTAGACGGAACATTGTTGTTATGCTGCTTTCTATTGAGACTGTTGATGGGGTCTTGTGGATGTTTACTTTTTGTTTGTTCGCTAAACAATTCCTTGTATATTCCCTTGATAAGTGTTCTGATTTCTGGTAATGATAATGAATGGGTGTGTTGTTTCTCCTCTGTTCCATTTTTTTGCAAGTCTCTCTGCTAGCTCATTTCCAAGTATGCCACAGTGAGTCGAGATCCACTGGAGAACGATTTGATTGTTTTCTGCGAGTCTGTTTAGCTGACGGGTCAGTTCTCTCTCCGTGTTGTCTCGTGGATCCCTCTGAGTCGCTTGGATGACTGACATGCAGTCACAAAGGAAAACAATTTTGCTGTTTTTAATTTTTCTTTCCTCAAGCACTTTGGCTGAATCAATAACTGCTCGTTGCTCTGCTCTGAAGTTTGTTAAGTCTTCCACAGGCGCAGACGTCTCTACTGAAGCCCCATCTTGCAGCATGATGACCGATCCAGCTCCTCTGTTTATCCCTGCTCCCTCCAATGATCAATCGGTGTATACGTGTGTGTATCGGGTTGTAGGATAACCGTTGTAGACATGTTCAAGGGTCTTTGCATGCTGTGCTAGGTTACATTCTTCAGCCTTCCTATAAAGCGCAAAATTAACACTTCTCATGCAAGAAGGCATATAACTTCCACATGTTTTCTTTCCTTTATGTATGCCTCCCTACACACCTGACTACTTATCTACTTTCCTATCTACATGCCTTCCGCCCTACACAAGCACCTACATAACTGTTTACCTATATAACTGTTGATCTACATAACTACATACCAACATCCTCTCCTTATTTCTTGAATCCTCCTCCTCTTCCGAGTCTCGTCCTCGTCGTCCTCTTCCTCCTCCTTCTTCTTCTTTCTTCTTCTTTCTTTTTCTTCTTCTTCTTCTTCTTCTTCTTCTTCTTCTTCTTCTTCTTCTTCTTCTTCTTCTTCTTCTTCTTCTTCTTCTTCTTCGTCTTCTTCTTCTTGTCTTCTATTTCAGACACCGCTAGAAAAGGCTGTATAAGGAAAATGCCAGAAACAAACGACTGGACCTCATCATGTCAGTATAAACTCTACTACTGGAACACCATCGCCTGGAAAGGACGAAAAGTTGCAGACAAAATGAACACTGCAGAGGGCCAGGTGCCACCCCTCAAAACTAATTGTCTCCCTTGCTGGCTGGCACTGAATCTTCTAGTCCTCTGGGACGTCCCTCTGTGTGATTAGACTTCGGGGTGCATGGCGAGTAAATAATGTCTTTGTTTCCTGTATCTCCTTCTACAGGCAGACTGCTGATTTGTTTTGTCGAGATTTCAATCTACCCGCGCGTCTCAACATGTTTCTGCTTTCTGGTTCCATAATTGCTTGTTCAGAGGGAGCTGTCACAGTGTTGTTACTAGAGGGAGCTGTCACAGTGTTGTTACTAGAAGGAGCTGTCACAGTGTTGTTACTAGAGGGAGCT